TTAGATGTACAGATTTTAGTAGGTTTATCCTATATTATATGTCTATATGAGTGAGTATATACCGTGTGTGTCTTTCTGCTTCTGGGACAGCTCACTCAGGATGATCCTTTCCAGGTCCCACCATAATTTGAACACAGGGGTCTTCCCAGAGACTCATACTCCAACCACATACCAGGCATGGAGATAACCTAGAACCCCTGCACAGATGTAGCCCATGGCAGTTTAGTGTCCAAGTGGGTTACATAGTAATGGGAAGAGGGACTGCCTCTGACATAATCTGATTGGCCTGGTCTTTGATCACCTCCCCCTGAGGGGGGAGCAGCCTTACCAGGCCACAGAAGATGACAATGCAGCCACTCCTGATGTGATCTGATAGACTAAGATCAGAAGGAAGGAGAGGAGGACCTCCCCTATCAGTGGATGTGGGGAGGGGCATACATGAAGAAGGGGGAGGGAGGGTGAGACCAGGAGGGAAGGAGGGCGGGACTTATGGGGGCATACAAAGTGAATAAAGTGTAATTAATAAAATTAAATTAAATTAAAAAAACAAGCTTTTTAAGCTTTTGTTTTCCAATAACAGGCCTCCTGCTGATGGACTAGCTCAGCAAGTTCAAGGCATGGTTAGGATACGCTATGGATCAGTTGTGGGCCAATCAGCCATCCTTCATTTCTTCAAACAGACCAATTCTAAATTAGAGGAGAAAAACTCTTCAGAGATTTTTAAATCCTAGTCCTTGAGAAGAGCGTGTACTTTTTTTTTTCTTTCTGAGGCCCCACTCTGCTTTGCAGAGGGCCTTTTTCTCTGTGTTCTCTGCATGTGTATGTCTCCTCTCCCACAATAAATGCCTTTCTTTAACTGCTGATTCTATGTGAGATTTTTCTGCTGCCACCTGTTGCTCCTGAGAATTTTTTCCTGTCATTTAATTGTTTAACTGGCAGAGAAAATGAACCCTAGTAAGACTCCTAGAGTATACCATGTATGTACATGTCTGCACACTCATACTCTAAAAATTGAATGAAAAAAAAAGATAAGATTTGGTATCAAATAATGGTACTTGGAAACCAAGGAACTACCAGAATTTGCTCATGTTCTTACTGTTAGTATTTAGGCAGCCTGCTTCTTGGTTGCCCAGCAACCTATGATGTCATCATGTATCTATGGCCAGGTATGTGACCTGGCAGACATGGTTATGTTGCTCCTTAAAAGGACCAACCCACCACTTTGTCTTTCTCTTGGCTCTTGCCCTCACCTCTCTTGTCTTCTTTCCTTTCTCTGTAGGGACATCACCCCCTCTTTCCTCTATCATGTTTCTCTCTCTTCTTCTCTCTCTTCATCTCCATCTAATAAACTTCTTTCATAAAACATCTTGTGCACATCATCATTTATTTGGTCCTAATGCTTACAAATTCATCTTTATCTTTATTATTTTTTTGAGACAGGGTCACAGATAATCTAGCCTACTCTGTGTAGTTGAGATTGACCTTGAACTCCTGATTCTCCTAACTTCATCTGAGTGCTGTGATTACACATTTGTATCTTTAAGCCTGATTTATGCAGTTCTCGGGATCAAATCTAGGGCTTTATACACATTAACCAAGCACTCTACCAACTGAGCTACATCCCTAATCTTAAAAGGCATCTTTCTTTTGTTGGGGAAGGGCAACAGAAGTACTGAGAACTATTTGATGGAAGCAAATGGATATGAAATAGTTGCCTGCTACCAATGCATTTCCTTTAGCGTTTTTGTTTTGATATTATCTGGATCTACTGTAATAGGTTTTGGTTATAAGGAAATAATAAATAAACTACCTAAAAATTTTAATTCTGTTGCTGCCTGCCTGACTTGTGTTTCCTCTGAGATTGAAACATTCCATCTTGCAAGGAATGTTTAAGCAGGAAGGTAAACAACTCAAAATAGCTTCAGAAAGCCCCTGAAATTGACCAGATTTAATACGCTCCTCCCTCCCAGAGTAAGCAATATAGTTTCAAGAAAGAAATCTACTGTGCTACCTGAGAGAGGTTTAGACCAAATGAATCACTTGAGACACTCTCCTATTATGCCCAGATCTTAAGGTCCCCAAAGACTACCAGGAGCTGGACCACATATGCAAGAGCAAAGAGCTTTATTCAGGCTTAAACTCAGTTTCTCCACCATCACCAATGCAGTGGATCAGAGAGGAGAGCCCTGAGTAGCTGCATGGCAGGGTTTTTATTGGAGTTTGAGCAAGAACTTGGAATCCCCACTTTAGCAGTTACACAATTGGATGACATTCAGCAAGGGCAAGCTTGTAACAGAGTGATTGGCTAACTAACATAACATTGAGTGAGCTATCTATAGACCCCAGGAATGTTAGGTTGGTGGGCTTCCCAGCACAGATGCCCCAACCTGAGATAAGATACCTTCCTATTCCTTGTAGTTACCTCCATGCTATTCCGTGGGTAGGAAATTTTTTGGTTTTCTTATTCTTGGAATTGATGACCTATGGCCTAGTTCCTGGGACTGATGACTTTTGGGGGAGGGGGTCAGGCCTGGTCCTTTTACTCCAACCTGTTGAACTTGCTGCAGATTATACAGTATGCTCCACATTCCCAGCTTTTGTGAGTTCTTACCTGTGCTGAGGTGAACTTTGGTGATGCATTTCTACTCTTCTAAGTAGCTCCAATAAAACTCATTGGTTCACCAAGTTGTCCTTTGGTGCTATCTGCACTTTGTTCTGTCATGGGCTCTCAATCTGGGGTGAGTAGGTATGTGTGCTGCATCTCCTGATGAAAAGTTCTGTCACACAACACTGACTGTAAGGCTGGTCCAAGATGGACTCACTGAAGACACCAAGATGGATGACCTGAGTAGGACACAGTCCCTTGAGGGAAATGGAAACTGAACGTCCTACATGTTTCAGAAATCATCTGACCCTTGTCTCAGTAGAACAGCTTGAACACATCCTGTTTTCCTAAAAGTCTCCTTTGTCAGCATCCTGTTATCCCTATGACCAGAAGTACCCTCTCCCCCCAATTTTTTGCTTACAGCTTGTTTCTTTTCACAGGATGTTCTCTCCCTCAACTAAAACCACCCTACAAAAACAACTCTGCCTTTTGGGGGGATGCTCTTCCTTCATTTGGAGACAGTTCAGCAGTTCATACCTTGAATTAAAAACTTTCAGCCTCAGTGCAGCTTTGGTGATTTGGTTCTCTCATTAGGCCTCACACTGACTTCCAGTAAAAATGTGTTTCTTCATTCCTTTATAAAAAATTAGGAATCACTGAACATAAGAAGACTTTATGTGTTGGATTAGGGTAAAAAATCCAATCTCACTTCTGGGTTTTGAAAATCCACAAATCCTTGAGCTCAAAATCCTACCAATACCTGGGCTTGCTCCAAGCTTAGGGCTTGAAATCCCAACAATCTCCACCCTGAGACTGGCCCCAGGAAACCCTATAGAAAACCTGTCTCCTACTCAGATCTTTGCTGCTTCTCTCCAAGCCAGAGGCAGCCACTTCTTGTGTCATTTCCAATAAATCGGTGTGGAATTTGTTGTACAGTAGGACCTTGTGGTATGCCTTGGCTCCCAACTGCCAGGATGCCTTTTCCTTCAGAGGTACAACACTTGCACTGGGGACACCATCCCCATCAGAGCTGTAACACTTACAGTAACAGGCCAGTGGAAATTCAACCTGCCCCTGGCCTGTCCCTGAACCTGAGACTTGGGAATCCCTGCCCCCATTATTCAGCATTAACAGCCAAGTAAGACTTCCAACAGTACTGTACTTTTCCACTAGCTAATTGCACTGTTTCAAAGACACAATAAATGCCTGCCCCTGTACCCAGGCTACTGTTGTCTCTGTTCCCAGTCAGAGGCAGCTGCCATTCTGTCTCTCCCCAATAAATCTCTTCTGTGAGGTTTGTTGCATGGTGTGACTTTGCGTTGTTTCTTGGCTCCTGATGGCTAAAATGGAAAATTTACCCTTTTAGTATTGGCCTTCCCTGTCACTGAGGAAATATGAACTATTTGTGGCAAGACACTTTGATGAAGATGCAAAAGAACATGTTACTACTGGCATCTAGATTGTTGGTATTAAGTTAGGTCAAAGGAAACTTTTATGTAATGTATGAAGGGTATCATGATTCTAATGTTGGAGGGCCTCATGCAGCTTAGGTTTTCTCACTGGCACTACTGATCTTGTTAAACAGCTAGTTATATATTAATAGCAGGCTTGAAGATTACTGCGACTGACTCCTGCTATAATCAGCAGTTTGTAAAACCAGGAACTGAAACTAAAGGTCTTTGATTACCCATCCAAAGAATGGGATCTGAGTATCTTTTTTCTTGGGTAGATGATGTTCTGAACTGTTGGAAAGATCATATGATTACTATCTAGCCAGGGGCTTTCTGGTAAAGAACAAAGCCATAAATTTGTTCCTTCTCTTTTACAAATTAATCCGAATGGGTTTATCAATTACCTGGATAGGAAAACACCCCTAGAAATGCTGTCTGCCCTAGAAACTTTAGAAAACAGTATACAACCAGGGCTGGAGATATGACTCAGGGGTTAAGAGCACTGGTTGCTCTTCCAGAGGACCTGGGTGTAATTCCCCAGCACCCCTATAGCAGCTCTCAACTGTCTGTAACTCCACTCCCAGGGGATCTAACACATACAAGGTGTATAGACACACATGTAGGTAGAACACCTATTCATATACAATAAAAGAAAGGTTAAAATATATTGAAAGAAAAAGTATACAATCTACCTCAATAGGTATGTCAGCATAATGGTCTCTCTGGTCATTGTCTACTTCCTCTTCACACTGTTTCATATTATTCTATAGTAATCTGTGTTTTCTATACTATGCAGTGTGTGTTTCATCCACATTCAACAGAGATCCAAGATTTTGCAAGCAAGGCAAGATACAGATAATAGTCTGAACTTGGTGATTGAAGGAGAATTCATTAATATCAGTATCTAATAGTTTCTTAAAGTACATTCAGTAACAATCCAAAAATTTCATGTAAAATAGGTTTATTTTAGCACCTACCTCCCTTTTACATTATACATATTTATATTCTAACATAGGTTATTTGGTCTATTTTGCATAGATGGCATATTTGCTAACCCTTACAATTGACTTTTTCATTTGCTGTTTGCTGCTACCTGGCTTGAAGAAGGGATGGTAAATAAAACTTGCTTGAGGGAAACATGAAGCAGAATTTAACTTCTCAGCACAACTTTACTTGGATCCAGACTTCAGTGCCAGGTTTTCTTCCTCTTCTTTCTCAAATCCTGAGCAGACAAGAGATCTTCCCTTGGGATATCGAGCACAACACTTACGAAGTTCTTGGACGACAGCCTGACACTTTGCTTCCACATAGTTGTTGGCTGAAAAACAGGCAACTCTTAGTAATGATCTCATGTACAAGGTAACTAAGCATTTTCCAATCATTTTTACTTAGCACCTATAAAATATTATATACTAAGCTCTATTGAATTCTTTCTGATTTAGAAATAATCAGGTCAAGAAGTAAAAGGAAAATCCATTAATAACTATCTAAAAGTATAATAGGAAGAAAATTACAATTTATAAATGGTTTTGATATGATTAGTGGCCACTAGTCCCTTTTTGTAACTTGATGAATTAGAAAAATTCATACAACCTACACAGAGTTTCATAGCAAACTGCATTTTGATGTCAAATTTAATGTCCCCCTCTTTAAAATAAAATTGTGCACTAACAATGTTTTTTTATTTTTTTTTTTAGTTTTGAAAAGGTTATAAAACATAAAGATAATGTGACCACAGTGTGTAGTTTACTGTGGGTACTTAGGTTGAGTGTCAAGACCAACACCTATGGCTTGCTTAGTTCCTGCATCCCTCCCCCAGCTCAGAATTCAGTGGTCAGCTGACCTCCATGCTCATTCTCTGAGGCACTGGGCTAGGGTATTTGTCAGTCTCCCAGCCACACAGACTGAGAGCCTTCAGTAAGTGAGCATTTACTTGGCCATATATAAACAAGGGCTAGTGTTAGCTGAGGTTGGCTGTATATACCAAAAGATTTTGGAACAGGGAACAACATACCCTTAAGACAGGCAGCCTGATCTATCCTGGAGAAAATTCATAGGCTAATGAATATTTATTATGCTGGCATTAGACATTATATTCAGTAGAAGTATGTTAAGTCTGATCTGTAGTACATTTTAGCTCTTAGTTTTTAAGTGCCCATATTTAAAAAAAAATCAGACTTCATATAAAAACCTAAGAATGTATCTCAAGATTTTAGAAAAAACAAGAGTAAGCCCCAACTCAAAACTAATAGATGAAAAGAAAATAAAAATTAAATAAAAAATTAATGGAGAACATACACATACACAGAAATTGTCAATAAAACAGCTGCTTTTTCAAAAGAGAAACAAAACCGACAAAGCAGCTAAACTAATAAAAAGAAAGACTCAAATTAATTAAAATTACAATCTAAGCCCAGTTTCACAGAGCTATAATCCTAAACTACTCAGGAAGCTGAGGCAGGAAGATCTCAAGTTCAAGGCCTACCTGGGCTACGGAGTAAATTCAAGACTAGATAGGACAATGAAACTCTGCTTTAAAATTAAAAAAGCAACAAGCATATAGCTCATTTGGTAGTGTTTCCACAAGGCCCCAGGTTCAATTTCCAGTACAACAACAGCAGCAATAATAATAACAATAACAATAATAGGAGACAAAGGAATATTACAACAGAAACAAATGAAATTAGTGAATATTTTGAAAAATGATGTCAATAAATTGGAAAAATCTAAGAATAATGGACAAATTTCTGTATATATGACCTATCCAAATTGAACCCCAGAACAGAAAAAGTTGAAATAAATCAATAGCAAGCAAAGAGACTGAATGTATGATTTAAAGTCTCCCATCAAAGAAAAGCACAGACCCTGATATATTTGTAGTAGTGAAGATTGAAATTAGGGCCTTGTACATGCTAGACAGATGCTCTACAACCACTGTTCATTTTTATAACTAACACCAATGATCCTCAGACTAGATCATAAAATAGAAAGAGAAAGAATGGAGCTGGAGAGATGGGTTAGCAGTTAAGAGCACTGGCAGCTATTCTAGAAGACCCAGGTTTGCTTCCCAGCAACTATATGGTAGCTCACAACTGTCCCCTGTAGCTCCTGTTCCAGGGGATTGGGATCCAATGCCCTCTTCTGGCCTCTATGGGCAACAAGCATACATGTGATGCACAGACATAGATAAAGGCAAAACACCCATATACAAAAAATAAAGGGAAAGAATTCTTCTAAATTCATTCTACAAAATCAATATCCTTAATGAACATACATGTAGAAAGCCTACATTAACTACTTTAAAACTTAATTCAGTGACATTTTGAAAAGAGTTGGTTTTGTTTCAAGGATAAATATATGGTTCAACATAAAGAAACCAATAATTACCATATATAAAGAGTCAAAACAACCATATTAACACCTCAATAGATGTAGAAAAAGCCTTAGTAAAATTCAATATCCTTTCATGTAAAATAAATTTGAAGAAACTAGGTACAATAGGGTTGTATGTTCACAGAATAAATGCTATATATAAGAAACCTATAGCCAATATCATACCAAACAGAGAGAAACCGAAAGAACCTTTTTTTCTCTAGAAAAGGGTTTCCATTCACTCTTTTTTAATTACTATAGTATTTGAAATGTTAGGCAGAGAAATCAGCAAGAGAAATAAAATGAATACAAATAGGAAAGCAGGAAATCAAATTATTCCTGACTATAAATATGATTCTATACTTAGAAAAGCCAAAAGCTCCATTGTAATTGTTAAAACTGATAAAGTCAGCAAAGTAGCAAGATACAAAATCAACATGTAAAAATCAGTAGCTTTTCTATATACTAGTAAACTCATTAAAGAAATCAGGAAAACAATAGCCTCAAAAAATAAAATGCCTATGAATATTCCTAATTAAGGTAAAAAGAAAAAAAATACTTTCCAATGAAGATTATAAAACACTGAAGAATAAACTGAAGACATTAGGAAATGAAAAACACTTCCATCTGTAGAATACTGATAAAATTGCAATACTGCTAAAGATGATCTACAAATTCAATGCACTACCCACCAAAATGTTCATATGTTCTTCAAAAAATTAGAAAACCATGTTTAAATTAATACAGAAGAGCAAAAGACCTCGAGTAGCCAAAGCAGCATCGAACAAAATTAATGAACTATAACAAAGGGCCCAGAAGTTACAGGCACCAGAGTTTTGGCCCAGATACCCTAAACTTGTTAGAGTACACATAGATGGGGATCAAACTGAGGACCTCATGAATACTAGGCAATTAGTCCTCTGCTGAACTAATTCCTAGTCCCTGAGGTCTATTATTAAAACTTGTCTATGTGGTATGTATTTTTTTATTTTTTTAGATAGGCTGTCACTTTGTAGCCTGGGCTGGTCTTGAACTTGTGATCCTCCTGCTTCTGGGATTATAAGTATGCATTATCATGTGTGGCTCTTTCTTTTTATGTATACATGCAGTGTTCAGGATGCAAACTAAGGCCTAGTACATTCTGATCAAGTGTTCTATCCCTGAGGCATATCCTCTACTCCAAAGCAGTCTTTTTATAGAAAGGTTTTGCTTAGTTCAGTTAATTTTTGTTTTGTTTTTTTGAGACAAAGTTTCTCTATGCAGCTTTGGCTGTCCTGGTACTCATTTTGTGACCAGGCTTGCTTTCTGCCTCTGCTTCTCAAGTGCCCAGTTCTAGTTCAGTAATTCTTAACTGTGATTGTGCATTAAAATCACCTGGTTAGCTTTGTAAAATGATTCCTGCTCAGACCCTACCTTCAGGAAGTCTGCTTTTAGTGTGCTAGACAAATTTTTAAAGTTCTCCAGGTAATTCTAATGTACAGTTGAACTCAAGAACCCATGGGCCAAACGACATCAGTTTTTTGTGTGTGGTGCTGAGGATAGAACCTTTGGGGCTTTGTACCTGTTAGGCAAGTGCTCTGCCATGGAAGATGGCTTCCTATTCCCTGTATCACATTACTTTTAATATACTCAACATTTTATGATACAATGGAGAAAAGATTCATGACTAGTTAATTACAGAAGTGTTACATTTAAAATTAATATAAGTTGCTGAAAACTTGGTTTCTTATAGTTGACAGGTAAAATTGAAAAATATTTTTAAAAATATCTATATACTACCTTGCAAACATTTTTGTATTTCACAGGCTTGTTTCTGGCATGGATCCTTTTGTGGCATATCCAGAAAACTAAAACAAAAAAAAGTATTATAATTTTTCTTTTTTAGTTATAAAGACTTTGTAGCCTATCTACATGGAATTTTCTTCTGGGGGCAAGTAGAATGACCTTACAATTGCTGGAAAAATAAATGCATAAAAATATTATTTCTTCATTGATAGGATAAATCAACTATATTTTTATATCTCCATCTCAATTAAGTATGGCAGATATAAATTAGATGAAAAAATTCAGTCTAGTCATCTTGAATATTGTAAACCAATGTTGTAACGACACCACAATTTTAAAGGCCTGGCCCAATGCCTGGCTCTATGATTAATAAAAGAAACCCTTGGTAAATGATTAAACTCTTTGAATGCTTTTCTTTCTTTCATTATTCATGTCAACAGGAATTATACGTACCTCAAAGAACTGATGGAAGGACTAAACATGATAAAACATATAAAGTGCACAGAATAGTAACTGGGAGGCAGTAAGAACTTAATACATGGTAGCTATTATACCCAAGTACTTTTTGTTTTAAGACAGGGTCTCATTATTTCTTAGGCTGGCTTCAAACTCCTGGGGTCAAGTGATTTCTTGCCTCAGTCTTCTGAATAGCTGGAATTATAGGCATGCACCATTGCTCTGGGCCCAAGACTTATTTTAAAAAGCAAAACCTTACTTTAATGTACATAAACTGTCATGGCTGCTTTAATTCAGGAAATTCTTTACACGTAGTTAGCAATGTTAGTTGCTATTACCTCTTGAGAAACGTGCCAATTAAACATTATCTTTTGAGCTCATATGGATGCCAAATATGTAAGATGTTTGTAATCAAAGAAAGAATTTAGATTCACAAAGTTTTGATGAGAAACTCATAAAAACAATTCAAAGAGACAGTTTCAGAAAGAAGAAAGGCATAGGAGCCTTTGTAGCTAATTTCATCAGTACAAATAACCTTTTTTCCCCCCAGAACTCCTTAAGTTCTCAGTAGATCCAAATTAGGTCAGTAGTGGGATGAGAAACACTAGAACAAAACAGATATTTACAGGATGGAAGAAGGAAAGGCGGGTGAATTTGCTGCAGGGGAAATAAGCGACAAATGCATGTCGATGCTGCTAGAAGATGCTCTCTTCTCTCTAAATCAGTACCCAGTCCTTGGTGATGAGGGCATCTGTTCTGTAGCATGTGCTGATTTTTGTGGGATTCACCAGATCCCAGGTTCAGCCGATGAAGTCCATTAAAGGTTCTATGGCAATTTCCAAAGGAGTCAATCTGAAGTTACATATCCTGCCTAAACGCTTTTGTTGACTTGATTTCTGCCCTGTGTATCCCTTTCTCTGTAGTGCTGGCAGTGTTCTTCATGGCCCTTCCTAAACATCTGTGTTCTTGAGCAGTTCTTCAAACTACTCCCCTCCAGCCCACCTCCCCGGGCCCAAGTGTGGGAGCACTGCAGTGGTGAATGAGGTGATTGCCATATAATGAATAGAACAGAGGAGTGTATCTTCCAAGAATTCCAGCACCTGAAAAAAAAATCATTGAAATCACTTCAACTGAACAGAATGAAAACGAGTAGAAGAAAGAGAAAAAACAAAAATACATACCAGGTTAACCATCAGGCAAAAGTTTAAGCAGCAGTTCCTGTACTCCCCTGACCTGTCAGAAAAAGGAAATTTTATAAAGTACTCTGCTGTAGGAACCCCAGTACAGGGAAAATGATTGAGTAACATGTATACCATTAAATGATGCTGAATCTGCCACAAGCGAGAATTGTTATCCATGTAGCGTTCCTCTGGGTAGAGTTGCCACATGAGAGGTAGTTGGGATGTAAGAAGGTGACTTGGCCTAGTTGCGTCACCTAAGGGAACCTGAACTTGCTGGACTCGAGCCTTTAGGAAATTTGTCTCCTAATAGGTATGATCAAAAATAAAACCAAAGACATCAGAATATTGAGACTAAATAGCAACCAGGTTACTTGAAAGCAACATTAAAAATAAAATAATATAAAATGAAAGCAGTTACCTCTTCCACCACAGCTACCCATGTGCGTTGATATTCGTCGCGGTAGATACCTTCTTGGTGAACCCAGAGATGATCGGGTGGAGCCCCCACATCCTCTCTTGCCATTCTGGGCTTTGGGTTCCAATTCTAGCCCTGCTTTTCTCCACCTAAGCCTGCAGCATCCGCGCACAGGACACAGGTGTGACTTTTGAGGTTTGGATGAACTCACTAGTGAGCAAGGTGACCTGGGACTAGCAACCACCAACCAGAACCAAACCTCGCACATATCTACTTGTACAACCTAAACATATCAAATGGTTTCTTAAGCTTTTTGAAAATGAAAACTGAAGTGACACTCAAGCAAAGCCGAGCTAATGTTAACTTTCTATGGAAAAGCACTCAAGAATTCTCTAAGTTCTGTGGGGAGATAACATGAGAACTGCAGGAGGCTGGGCACTGGTCTCTCTTTTGTATTTACAAAGCATTATTCAGCAGTGTGTTAGCAATAGAAAATACACAAAAGTGTAGCAGGGACATGGTTTTGGCAGAAAGATAGTGATTAAATGAACACATGAATGCCATAGTCCTCAGATAAAAGAAACTCCCAAGCAGTTTACATTTTAAAAAGATTCTCAATGTGTGCGGCTTTCTAAAATGAGACTAAGTTTGTTATAAGGAAAAAGGAAATATCTGTCATTTTATTTAAAAGTCATTTATACTAGCAAGGCATATCCAGAAAGAGATTTCATTTTAGGAAAGATATTTAGTGTAGTTTTATGACTTTCTGAAAGCAAATAATAGTCATCAATCTAGCTCCCTGTTTCATTTAAGCAGGATGTCACAGTAGCCTGTTTTTATTCAGAGACATAGTTGTAAATTTTTTTTCTACAAACCAAAAGGTCAAAAATATCTCTCTGCCCTTACAGTTCTCAGTTTTGGGTGGTAAGGAACTTCTCTGTAATAGTCTCCTGCACAGCTTTGGATCTCATAATTTCACATGCATTTTTCATGAATAGAATCTCATAGAAACCACTCATAGCATCAAGATACAGATTTACTGTATTACTAACTTTACAGAGCACAAATACATCAGTGGCTAGCTGTCCCACTCTAAAGACCAATAAGTACCTTTTAGTGATAAAGAAAATGAAACATAGTTTGGGAGATGGTTAGAACTTTCAAAGTGATACTGTCTAGAACAAACCAAATGCCAATCATGATATGGAATGAGAAGACAAAAATAAAGGAATGAAGCTAAATCTAGTCTTTTTTTGGGGGGAGGGCACCATCCTGAATCTGATTTTTCCCCCTTGCACTGTTTTTCTGCCTATGCCCTAAAAGGAAAGTAGGAATAAAAACTACTGTCTTAAAATGGGTATATTGGTGCATGCCTGTAATTCCACCATGCCAGAGGCTGAGCAAGGTTCAGGCCAGCCTGGGCTATATAGTAAGTTCAGCTAAGCTCTTGGTTAACTACATAAGGTGACTGTCTCAAAAAAAAAAATATGGTCACATTTTTGTGACTGATAAATAGGCATCATAGTTATTCATTCGTTTCCCAAGTGATTATGACTCTGAATCTCTCACATGGTCCCCCTTTAACCTGGATGTACTCTCTCATTTTTCAACTTACTTACGATAGAATTATTTCTCCATAACCAACCCCTACTTTCTATATGGCAATATCACCTCTTCTGTACACTCAAAAGTTATGAGTTACCGTGAATTTCTTCTCATTCAGTTGCTACACCCCATGTATCCAATTCTAGCAAATAGTACCATTATTATCATATTCAAACCAAAATTTCTTACAAATACCAGGGCTGTTTCAAGCTGCTGTTCCTTTCTACTTGTCTAAAATACATGAGTCTCTAGCTATATATTTTGTCACTCTTATCATTTAGCAAATACAAGTGTTCTGCCTCTTCTTTTAGAGGTTTAGAAATACAACCCCCAGTAAATTCTAATACAAAAATAAAAATGAGCACACACACACATTTTGAAAGCAGGATCCAACTGTTAAGGGTTTTAAGACCATCTCAACTTCATAGATAGATAGGTCCTAGCAACAACCAACATGTTGACATTTACATTTCTTTTGAATAAAAACAAAACTTTATTGGTCATACTGACATTGAAAGAAAGTAATTCCAGCGGAAGAGAAGGCAGATAGCATGTGATATTCTGAATTACTGTGAGGCACTACAAAATATTCTCAGAAGAAAGTCAGTATAGTGTGCTGCTGTGACCTCCAAAGGTTAATAGGCTGGGTGCTAACAAATTGAGCCTGGGAACAACACTCAGTACATTAGCCTGGAATTATGTGTCCTATCATTCAGAGGGCAAATTGCCCCAGAGGCAGCTGCAGTGATCAAGAGACTGATAAGCCACCACATAACTAAAACCATTAACACTCTCAGTAGAGAAATGAAAGGCTGAGAGAAGGGCATTCAGATCAAAGTCTATAAAATCACATGTTGGATGAATGGAACATCATTCCCATAAATATGATTCTTAGAACACTTGATCCAAACATTTTTCTTGGTCAAATAACTTTGGGAATATTGGAGATCATAAAAGCACATCAGAATGTTCAAAGTCTGAGCAAGTTATACTATACAGACATTTTTATATAGTTGAACATTTCCCAAATTTATTTGACTAGAGAACATTTTTTGGTATATGGTATTTGTTCACAAAATTCAAGTTTCCCCAAACTAAGGAATATCTTAAAACCTCAGGATAAGTTTAGTTACAAGGCACAATACAATACATGGAATAGAAACCCATGCAATGTAACTTAAAAATATTACCAGTTTCAAATACAAATGTACCCCAAACATGTTTGTATAACTTTACAGCTACCACAACCACTAAAAGATATTTCCTCCATAGAAGTTGCTTTGATTCCAAAAGCCATATTGACCTAAACAGATTAGTTTTATATGGTTTGTAAATTTTAGATAGATTTTAGATAGGAAAAGTTTTAGATAGGTTCTAAATGGATGATAGAATACAGAAGAGCTTTCTTTGGTTATAATTTAAATAAAATTTAATTTTTTTCCTTTACAGAAAGAATAGTTTGTATCTTTTTTTAAAAGAGTATGATTTGCTTTAATTTTGAGGCATTTCAGTTTTTAATAGCATCAATAAGTTGAAAATGCTAATTATTTGAAGGCATTTAATAACATCATCCAATTATAATTTCAGTTGGCAAAGAACACAGGCCCAGGTATCAGCTTGGATGATTAATAAATCTTCCTTGTGCCACTTGGAAGCATTGTTACCATCAGACAATCTAATTTGACATTAGATTGCCCCAGTTTCCCTGAGATGTAAATTCATGAACATATTGACTGCAATGATACTTATTAAACACTTCTCATATGTTTAACATGTGGTTAGGTGCATTGACCCATTTGATCTTCAGTCTTCATGAGATGGTGTAAGATGGGTATTAGTATTATTCCCACTTAAAGGTGATGCATGTAAGGCACAAAAAAGGTTGTACAGCTTGATTCCAGTTGAGGCAGTTTTTACGTATTATATATGTAAATTATTAGTAGAGTCTTTAGCCCATAGGCTTGCTATAAATGTTAATTATTATTTCCCTCTCCAGTCAAACGTTTGGAGCTGTAACAGGTAGCATGAACGTTCTAGAATACTAGACTGACTAAAATCAACAAACAAAAATAATTTTGTTCTTGAAGGTGGCTAAACAAACTGATCAATTCAAAAAATCTCTTAAGCAAATGTAAGAAGATGAGCAGACCTTGCTGGGCCATCAAGGCAGGTGTTAACTATGGACAGTACCTGAAAATAACGCATGACATAAAATTGAAACTTAGAGATATATAGATAGGTTCAATTACACCCCTGCAATTCTCCAACCTTTATTATTATAAAACTTAATCATGGAAGGATGTGGAATAAGCATTAGGTTTGCAAACAGAGGTTGTTGGCATATATATTACACCACAGTGACCTGAACTTGGGACAGTACTTGCGGGGAGACTTGGGTTGGAAGTGACTTAGGAGAAAAGAACAAAGCATCACTACGTCTTCAAGTATCGCCTTGAATAAGTTCACTTTCCAGCACTGCCATATCTATCTGGCCTCAGAAGTACAAAAGGAATTTAAAAAAAAAAAAAGCGTATGAGCTGTGGAGGCTTCGTGTCATATAGTTTGCTTTCAATTATAATCAGTACTAAATTTTTCTTGTAATTGGTAAACTTGCAAATTGGAAGATTTGCACATTTATTCCTTAGTTTATCGGCATATTTTAAAATAAAATTAGTTTTACATATAAATTAACCATGTCTGACACCAGCAAAGAGATTAGAGGAAATTTACTTGAACTAGTTCCTTGATGTGATGCATCCCAACTTGAAAAGTGAGGTCCCTCAATCCTTTTCCTGTATCAAACAAATATATATCTAAAAAGTAGCAGCAAGCAAAACTGGAGTTACTTTTTCAGATACAGTAAAACACTGTTTCTGTAAAAGGTTACTCACATGAATATAATGTTTCTTGGACTGATTACTCCGCCTCCAGAACAGCTAGGCTAAAACTTCCAGGTCCCCCACCCCGGGACAGTCAAGCAGGGATCGCGATGTGAGCCCAGGACGGACCAAGGGACATCCCGGGCCGAGGTCACTAGAACCGAAGTTAGGAGGTGCAGGCCAGCAGCCGGAAGTGGTCCAGAGAGATTCAAGGGCTGTGACTTGGAAATAAAACAAAATAAAATAAAACCTTAACTGTTTTAGGACCGACTTTCAAAAGAGGCCGTTGTTCGCAGCCATGTCGCCTCAAAGAGCTGTCCCTGACGTGTGTAGGCCGCGCCGGGCTTTCCTCAACGGGCGGGCAAAATGGGCGCCAGCACTATGGAGGCGTCTGCCCTGGCGTCCTGGAGCTACTCACAGCCCACGTCCGCCCCAGCAGGGGAACACCGCCGCCCAGCCGCCCAGCCTGCCGCGTAGACCTCCTTTGCCAACCACCACCCAACGTCCCATTGCTTCGCCAGCCCAGACCGACCCGGGTGTCTCCCAGGTGCTGCTAGGCGGGTACCGCCTCCGCGCCCTAGGCTCCGCCCTCGTGGAACCCGCGCCGCTAGGCCAGGATTGGGCGGAGCGTCAAGCACTGGGCTGGTAAGTAAGGCTGCGTTTGAGCACCGGGTTGGACAGGCTGCTTTGGGCTCTGGGCGGACTTGAGTGGAACAAAGATGGCGGTGCAGGTGGTGCAAGCTGTGCAGGCGGTTCATCTTGAGTCTGACGCTTTCCTAGTTTGTCTCAACCATGCGTTGAGCACAGAAAAGGAGGAGGTGATGGGTCTATGTATAGGGGAGGTGAGTAGGTCGGCAGCCTGGCTGAAATCCCCCTGATCAGTACCCAGTAGTCCCTGAGGTGGCTGAGAGGCCACAGGACGTGATTCAAATCCTTTGAGTTTGTTTTCTAATGCTGTCGCAGGGATCTTTTCCTTATGTACCTGCAAACCGTCAGCGTCTGCATGAGCCCATGGGGTTAGGGATTATCGTACCAATGATTAAAACAGCGAATCAGGCAAGAAGCATTCTGATATAATGAGAACATCGAGGTATTAGGAAACAAGTAACCCACAGTTACAGCCTCACGTCTCGGCACCAGTTTTCCCTACGAGAAGCAGAGTTATCACTAAACATTTTAAAGGCTAGCAAAGAACTCAGAAGAGAAGGGTTTTGTGGATTCCAAAGTCTCTGTTGTGGTTAAATGTTACAGAGGTGTGAAAGTAGATGAGGAAATGGAGTGTAGTTGTAAAGGACTGAAAACAAATTCTCCAGTCTTTCCTGCTGTTGTGTGTGAGCATATGGCCTAATTTTTATGTAAATCTGCATCCCTGTAACTAAATAAATGTGTCAGTAATGTTTTCTGCTCTTTCCTACTCTAGTTGAATGATGAAATAAGGTAAGACTATATTTGTTTATTTACACCATATTATAATCTCTAAACTGATTCTTAGTGAAGAATTGGAACAACTTTGGTAATAGTGTTTACACGTTTTATCTTAACATTAACAGTATAGATCTCTCTCACTATAAGCTGAGTTCCACTACAATTCTAAAGATTCATTTTAACCTTATATCATAGCATGATTTTTATTTGAGATATATATGCTCCTTTGTGGAGAATCTGGCTGAAGGAACAAGCATCGTGAGTGAACCTGTAAAATTCTTATAAATAGAGTTTTGTTGGAGTTCCAGGAGCTCAATTGGTTATTACTGCATAATAGTTACACAAATAGAACTTTGTTGACTAAAATAAAGACAGTTTATTAAAAATGACGATCAATATACTTGACATTTGGTTCTATTGCTTTCCATTTTCTTGCTTTATGTGTTTCATAGTCTCTCTTCCCTGAAAAGTCAGGGATATGCCAGTTACTTTCCTTGTGGCAGATAATGTCCACACATTGGGAGGCTTTTCCCTTGTTGGCCCATGCCCCCATCTAACTCTCCAGTGGATTTCTGCCCCGCCCCACCTTCACCCCTGTGAACCCTACAGTAATCCTAGAGGTTCCTAGTAGCTTGAAAGCTTGAGAGATGGTAAAACCTTTGGCTTCTTTAAACAATCCTCTCCCCTTTTCTGTTTCAACCAAGGTTGCATTGCAAAAATGGTTCATCTTAGTTTTCCTTGACTTCTTCTTCTATTCCAAACCTCAGTTCCCCCCTTTTCTAATCTATCTCCAATAGGGGTGACTCCAAATTTACATACACTGGAACTGAAATGCGCACAGTTGCAGAAAAGGTATGTAGGATAAAATTTTGCATGATTGAGATTTTCAGTTGGGGAGGAATTTCTGCAGTCTGATTACTTCAGCTAGGATATTAATTCACCTTGTAATTGTACAGCATATTTTTTTCCTATTAAAATCAGATGAAAAGTCTTGCTAGAATGTTTCTGGATTTTGTAGGAACTTTACTGGATCAACAAGAATAATCTGATCACATTACCCAGTTCCTCTCCTTCAGTTACTGCCTTTTTTCAAGCCTTTCTCCTAGGACTTTGAGATTTAGTTCATATTCTTGTTTCCCCGTTACCAAATCCTCAATTTATTTATAGTTTGCATAGGCAATCTATTCATGTCATGATTCATTTGTTACATTCTAACACAACTATTTTTACTGTTTCTCCAATAATATAATTTTGATATATCTTAAACTCACTGTAAGTTGAAAATATAGACCCCAAGTGTACAATACACCTAAAGTACCAAACATTCTACAGATGGTGCATTAACAGTTGTTTATCTTCATGATTGCATGACTCACTGAAAAAAACTATAGCTCAACATTGCAAAAATTTATTATGCTACATGTTTATCAACAGCCCAGGAGAAAATTCAAATTTAAAGTACAATTTTTACTGAATATATACTACCTCCCCATCAACGTAAACTTAAAAAATCCTTGGTTGAATAATTATGCATTGGGGAGTATTCACAATAAAACTTTAGAACAGTTTTTATTTGAATTTAGACCTCTCTACCTTTTGGATCATTGTCCTACCTTCTTATCCTATATATATTTTAAGCATCATTTAATATTGCTATTAGTGTTTTATACACTCTTTATTCATTGTGCTTATACAATTTTTTAGTTATTCTTTTTACATCTCAATCTTAGTCCCCTCCCTCCTGTCCTCCTGGTCTCTCCCCTCTGTCCTTCCCTCATCTCCCTATTCCCCTCCCTCAGAAATGGGGAGCCCCCCCACGCCCACACTAGCATATCCAGTTGCATCAGGACTGTGTAATTTCCTCTTTCACAGTGTCCTGGCAAGGCAGCCCCACCAGGGGGAAGTGATCGAGAAGCATGCAACAGAGACCATGTCAGAGATAGCCACCAATCCCTTTTCTAGGGGACTCACGTGGAGGTTACGCTGCCCATTGGGTATATATGTGTAGAGAGCCTACGTATAGTCCATGCATGATATTTTTATGGCACTTGACTTTTTTTTTCATTTTCTGGAATTATCTTTCTATCTAAAGAACTGTAAAATTTCTGTCCTTATAATAGATTCCCTCCATTGGGCATCTGAAGATGTCTTTTCGTTTGTCTTCAGTTTAAAGGATACATTCTTGATTAAAGAATTCTTAGTCTGCATGTATTTTATTTCAGTACTCTAAGATGTAATCTTTGGGATTTTATAGTTCCTGTTGGCACTATATGGCAGTTATTTGTCTCATTCTTTGAGAAACTATGTATTCATCTGTCTCTGTTCCTAATTTTATTTTTCATCTGCTCTATGCCTGCCACACATTGTACTAGTTTCTGGTAAGAGAGGTATAAATGAAATATGGTTCCCTGTTCCTGAGAAACTTGTATTCTTGTAGACGAGAAAAGTGTGAAAAAAAATAGAACATAATGTATATTCTAGCAGAAATAAGTGCATAGTTATTATGAAAGAATACATATGCAGGAGAAAGTGATGATATTTATAGGAACTCTAAGTAACTGAATAATACAAAAGCATTACAACCTTCTGAGATTATATATGTGTGTGTGTGTGTGTGTGTGTGTGTGTGTAGATCTGTGTTGTGTTTTCAACAAGTTATAAAGCCAGGTGGTTGACACTTGTAATCTCAGCACCCAAGAAGGTGGGACAGAAGAATTACTGTGGGTTTCAGCCTAACCTAAACTACATAGTGAGTTATAGGTCGTCCTAGGCTATACAGTGAGAAATTGTCAAACAAAAACAAGAACAAAAAAGAACAGGTTATTCCTGGAGCAACACTTTATTAAAAGAATAGTCAAGATGGGCACAGTGGTGCATGCCTGTCTCAGGGAGACAGGAGGCAGGCAGATCTCTGTGAGTTAGAGGCTAGCTTGGTCTACAATGTGAGTCCAGAACAGCTAAGGGTACCCAGAGAAACCCTGTCTAGAAAAACGAAACAACAACAACAAAAGAATAGTCAGTATTTGTTGTGCAAATGGTACCTTTGTCTTGATTTTTATCTATCAGGATAAATTTTCTTACCAAATTGCTGACTATTCTTTTAACTTTATCCACATTTTCTTTAATAAATAACTACAGCGAAATGATGAAATTAAAGTTAATATAAGAATATATTTTATTTAGCTCTAATATCTAAAGTATTATTTCAATATGTAGTTAATATTTTTTAAAAAAGCATTCAGATATTTCACATTCTTCTTTCCCCTTTTAATAGGCCTTTTAATTGCAGTAGGTATTACATTTGTGGCTCATTTAGAAATTAGACTTGACATATTTTAAGAGTTGTGCCTAATGGCTTCTATATTTCAAAAACTTCCTCTCAGATTTTATCTTTGTCCTGTCACTTTTGACACTAACAGTCATTCCCATCCCTACCCACTCTAGAACCATTTTACTGCTCCTTAATTTCTTCTTTGTCTTTCTTCTCCCTTTTAGTCTACAATATTCTAAATGTGAGTACCTCTCTTGATTTAGGCCTGGACCTGTGGTCCCACTCCCCATACCATTTTGTTACCTTATTAAAATTTTGTTGAGTCTCATACTGATTTTATTTGAGCCAAGCTAAAATACTACCTGACAAAACAAAACAAAACAAAACATTGCTGTACTTAGTTTTCTTCCTTCCAGTTCATCCTGCAAGCAACTGCATGATATTAAACCTTTATATATTGTTTCATTCTCACTTTTCTTATCCTTACTATCTGCCATTCCATCTAAAGCTCTGCAACTCTCCCAAACATTTTACTCACACTGTACCTCTTTTGTAGCTCATAACACCATTTGGCAACTGTAGGAATTCTAAATGTCCACACACAGCAATCAACAAATACATACATTTGCCTACCTTCTCTATGAGTATTTTTTCTAATTAAGTTAGTTTTCTCAGTTCTTGCAGCATTGATTTTCTCTATTATTTTATTGTAGTTTCATGTCTAGTACTTTCTCTTCAACCAACCATATTACTAACATTTTGAACACTGTTTTATATTCCTTCATGTGATGATGCATTTTGTACCTATTAGAGGATTATTCAAAAACACATTCTTGATATAAATACTCTGATATATATATCTTGATTGGGATATTGTAACATTTAAAATATTTATTAACTGGCAGTAGTGATGCATGCCTGTAACTCTAGCACTTGGGAAGCAGAGCCAGAAGGATCAGGAGTTCAAGGCCATCCCCAGCTACATATTAAGTTATAGGCCTACCTGAACTACATAAAACTCTGTCTCAAAAATACAAAAAAAAAAATTAGTTAAGTAAAACATTACATTATTCATAGGAAAAACATCAGTTTTTGAAGTGAAATTCTCTTCTGCTACTTTAATAAAATGCAGTCCTATAATTATAGAAAATCTGGGAGAGAAGTGTTATTGGCCAGAGAAGGATTATTGGCTGAAGACAGAAATAACCATTTCTGTGTATTTTCCTTTAGGTGGATACCATCAGAATTGTTCACATCCATTCTGTCATCATCTTGCGACGTTCTGACAAGAGAAAGGACCGTGTAGAAATTTCTCCCGAGCAGCTGTCTGCAGCCTCAACAGAGGCAGAAATATCCTTACTAATATATTAGATGCTTTGTATGCTGTTAGGCTTCTGGGCCATACCAATGCAATTGCTATAGTAATTTACTTTAGGTGGTTTCATAAATGTTCTCTCTAGGGAATGTTCCTCAATTTTCATATTTACCCATTAGATATAATTATTTGGTTAATCATCTCTCTCTCTCTCTCTCTCTCTCTCTCTCTCTGTTTATTCAGGTATTCTTCTTTAAACACTTTCTACCTTTAAAAAATTTACCTAACAGCTGGGCATGGTGGCACATGCCTGTAACCCCAGCCCTCAGGGAAGCAGAGGCAGGCGGATCTCTGTGAGTTCAAGGCCAGCCTGGTCTACAAAAGTGAGTCCAGGACAGCCAAGGCTACACAGAGAAACCCTGTCTCAAAAAAAATTACCTTACAAAGTTACAAAATATCAAGTATCCATATATTTTCCTACATGCTTACTTTCAGTTGGCCCTCCCTCCCTCTGCTCCACCATCTCCCTGCTTAAATCACCATCTCCCCACTTAAATCCAACCTCAGTATATTCTTTATGCTTGCACATGCATTCTATTACCTAGTCCATTCTGCTTCCTTAAAGCCCTATTCCTACCCTTCATGGGTCTCTTTCTGGTTTTCATACACATTTACTCCCACAAAAATACACATATATAAAAATTAAAAGCTAGGATGCACATATGCAAAAGAACATATGCTGTTTGTCTTTCTGGGTTTGGGTTACCTCCCTCAATATAGTATTTTCTTACTCTATTTACTTGTAAATCTTAAGAGTCTAATAATTGTTTCATTGTGTTTGTCCCACATTTTAATTATCTATTCATTGATTGAGTTTACCTGTAGGTTATAGCTTACAAAATTATGGCATAAAAAGAGGCCAGGAAATTGACAGGTTTGGAGGAAACAGCTACTGGTCCCCATCTTGCTTCTCATGGCCAACTAGTTATTTACCTTCACTCTTGTAAGAGGCAGTTACTTTTTCTTATACCTCAGGTCCTTCCCTCACAGTTGTGTTCCTCTTTACCGAAAGGAGTACTCAAGTGGGACCCACTGGCCATATCTAGGGTTCTGTCCCTGTGAAGATGTTCTCTGCCTGAAAGCCACCAGACTTAATGAGTCACTTAAGGTCTGGGTAACCTAGCTGGCTTGACTTCAGTTTTCCTTCCATATTCTTGTATGGTCTGGAACTCATCTCACAGGCTTACTTATCTGCTTCTCATCTACTGAACATTGTTCTTTTGTATATTTTTAAAAACAAACAGAAATAACTGCTAGCACGAAATTCCTATAGTTCTGAAAAAGATATTTATTACTGTACTTACTTATATTCAAATGGAGACTATCTCATTCCCAAACAAGTAATGGCTGGGTACACAACTGTATTTTGCCACTACAATTACTATTTGTCGAGCACTTACTGGGAGCCAGGCACAGAGCCAAACATCTTACACAGAATTGCACATCTTCTCTTCACTACCATGTAAAACATTCAGGCTAAAAGAATAAGAACATTTTCTCATCATTTGAACATTAAAAACACATTTAAGCAAGATGTGGTGGTTCCACCTGTAATTTCAGCATGTGGCAAGCAAAGGCAGGAAGAGTGCAAATTCAACACCTTCCTGGCCTATCTCAAAAGTATACTATTCCTCAGATTTAGTTGTATAAAATGGTGGGTATGTATGCATGCACACACATACACATTTAATTTTGTGTATGGGTGTTTTGCCTGCATGTGTATCTGTGCACTATATGTGTGCCTGGTTACGTAGATGTTGGGAATTGAACCTGGGCTCTCTAGAAAAGTAGCCAGTGCTCATTAACTATTACGACATCTCTCCAGCCCTTGAGTATGTTGTTTTATTTTTAAAATTAGCATGCAATTATTTTTCTTTATTTCATTTTCAAACAATTTAGTTTTTTTTGTACCTTCCCCGTCTCCTGATACTCCTGTATCCCATCAGCCTTTTCTGCTTTCATGTCCCATGTGTTTTGCTACTGTCCATATACCCTTCCTCGGGACCTCTTTTTTTTTTTTTTTTTCCATTTTATGATCCCCATTGTAAGTTGCATAACCTATATAGAATGGGGAAACAATTTGCTGGCTATATTTGAGACACACAGTTAATGTCTTGAATGAATAAAGAATTGCAAAAATTAAATACTAGAAAACCTGGCTAATCAATAAACTGAGTAGACAGTGCTCTCTTTTTAAAATCATCGTATTCTAATTAACATGACTCCCCAGCTAGTTGAAGCCAGCCACTCAAACAGTTGCCCAGTCCTAAACACTATACATCTCAATACAGTTGGAATGGTCATTCTGAACCGGTAGAGCTTCATTTAGGATTTTTTCCTCCCACTATCAATTACATTTTTTGTGTGTATAGGTGTTTTGCCTGCATGTATGTTTATACATCATGCACATACAATGCTTTGTATGCTAGAAGATGGCATCAAATCCCTGGCAATCGAGTTACAGATGGTTGTGAGTTTCCGTGTGGGTGCTGAGCATTGAATCCAGTTTTTCTGCAAGAGCACCCAGTGCTCTTAATCTCTTCAGTCCTTCAACTACATTTTTAGTCACTTAACCTATGCATAAAAAAGAAACTATAACAGAGTTGAAACTAGAAATCATAGTATTAAATTCTCTTTCATGACTCGTGTTCTCAAAAGACAAAACCTCTGTAGGTACCTAGCACACACATAGTATATATACATACATGCAAGTAAAATACACAGATAAAATAAAAATAAATAGATCTTATTTTTAAAAAGGAGCATGAAAAAATAAAAAGAAACATATCCAGCCAATAAATATTTAAAATGTTTAATATACAGCCATCAAGGATATATAAATCAAAATTATGTGGCAATCCCACCTTCCTTAAGTCAAAATGGTAATCATTGGTTGTGTTTTAATATAGGTAATTTGTAGGAAAGGTAAGCAACACTTTACACGACAGGGGAAACTGAACTGTGAGCTTTGTGTGGCCTTCAACCACTCTGCTTTGCTATTTTTAACATTTGACAGCCTACTATAGAGAAATCAAATAAATTTTAAAAAATTCTTGGGGCTCTCGAGGTAGAGTACTTGCCTAGCATGCCTGTTCCAATCTGTAGTGCACCCATATTAGTATATATGATTCTTACCTGTGGGTCATGACCCCTTTAGCAAACTTCTGTCTCCAAAATATTTACATTGTGATTCATAAAAGTAACAAAATTACAGTTATGAAGTAACAACAAAAATAATTTTATGCTTGGGGTCAGTAAAGCATGAACTGTATTAAAGGATTGTATCATTAGGAAGATTGAGAACCACTGAACATGCACATACACACTATAATTTCTTATATTTCTTTAGCAAAAGTGGGAGTAGACAGAGAAGACAGAAGATTCTCAAGTTGAAATATAAGTGAATTCTGAGTATTTGAACAAGCTTCTTTGCAGAGTATGTAAAGATTTGGATGACCAAACATTTGCACAGTTGGAGTAAGATGGTGTAAAAGGAATATGAATTGTATTTAAAGAAAAGACTGACTTTAAGCGAATAACATTGGAAGTTTTGGGTAAACATTAAGTTTACCCTTAATTATGTATTTTGACCCTTTTTACAAGCATAAGGATATCTTTTTTGTTTTGTAACTACCTTGACAAACATACAGGTTGGCTGAATTAACAGGTCGTCCTATGAGAGTTGTTGGCTGGTATCATTCCCACCCTCACATAACTGTTTGGCCTTCCCATGTTGGTAAGTGTTACAAGGTTTCAGTGTTTATTTCTCTCAAATAAATATCACTTATCCTCCATTACCTATCATGGTCATCAAAAGGCATTTCTTCTAAGAAATATTTTTAGTCAATTCCAACGCCTATCTTCTAGTCTAGAGGAAATTATCAAGTTTTGAGAATAGCTGAAGTTTTCAATTTTTTTATGTTACATTTCAAGGTAGGGATACTCTAGGGCTAAGCAGCCTAGAGTTACTACTTAATATTAAGCACACTTTTCATAATATTTCTTTAACTTGGTAAAATATGCTTTGACACTCATATTATTCATATTATCATTACAATATTCCTATTTTGCCTGTAGAATGTTAATGTTGACATGACTGATAGTCATTACTGTTATCTCTAAATAAAATCTGTTAAATAAGGTAATTTAACAGAATGTTTTTGTTTCTATTTCAGATGTTCGTACACAAGCCATGTACCAAATGATGGATCAAGGCTTTGTAGGACTTATCTTTTCCTGTTTCATAGAAGACAAAAACACAAAGGTATTGTATGTATAAGCATATGCATGTATGTGTGTGTATGTGTGTTTGAGTGTGTTTGTATACAGAGTAGACACAGGATAGAGAAAAACCTCTCCTCAATTTAATAGGATAAACAAGAAAGTTTTCAATGAGAAGGATTATTGAGTCAAATCAGAAGAAGGTCAGGGAACACATCTTGAATATTTATTTCTTGGAGGAAGATCATCCCTGGCAGAGGAAATAGCTAGTACTGGCACCCTAAGATGAGTGTGGCATTTCCAGGGAACATTGAGGAAATTGGTGTGGCTGTAGTAGAGAAAAGAAGACCTTGATGATGTATTCCAATTTGCCTCATTCTTAATTTTTATAGTTATATTGTAATGCTTTATTTCATCAGCCCTTTTCTCTCTTGGAAGTATTCTGGTTTGTTTATCCTTAAAGAAGCCCAAAATAATAATGGGAACTAGTTCTTGTAAGGCCTTTACTTTGCCTCTGAGTTGGGAAGCCATTAGAGGGTGACTGTAAGTCTTAATAGAATCATCCAAGGTATTGTATTACTAATGGATTAGACAGGATTGGAGGGGGAGGGGTGAAATGAATGGCATCAGAGAAACCAGTTAGGAAGATAGTTCCATGATCTAAGCAAAAGATAGAGCTTTGATTATGGTTTGGAGAATATAAGTATGCTGATGATGACTATGTTCCATAAATTTACTCTTTTCCAGAAACACTAGAATTCAATATCTGGAACTTTATAATTTTTTTAAATGCTTTTGGTTTTGTCACCATTTAATTTGTTTATTGTTATTATAAGTAGTGAATGAAGTTAATCACTTTCTTGATTCTCATATTTGTTAATAATTCTTCCTTAGAAGATGTTTGTGACTTGTATTGAATGTATGTACGATCCTATTCACAGAAATTGATTTATTTATGGCATATTCTATAATCTTTGCAATCTATCTTTTTTCTTTTGGTTTTTTGAGACAGGGTGTTTCTCTGTGTAGCCTTGGCTGTCCTATACTCACTTTGTAGGCCAGTCTGGCCTCAAATTTACAGCAATCCACCTGCCTCTACCTCCCTGAGTGTTGGGAATAAATGCCTAAGCCACCAAGCCAGCTTAGAGTCTCTTTTAGCCTAACATGTCATAAAAGCCTTTGAGTTTTAGGTTAGACTCTACTAAATTGCTATAAAATTTCCAACACAAAAAATTTAATGGTTAAAAATAAATACTGGTCATATTGAGTCAATTATTTCACATGTGTATGTATTTGTGTGTGTGTGTATAGTATATCTATAAAGTTATCCAGATATTATACCTCAAAAAATCAACAACTTTATAATTTAACACTCTTGTGTATGACATTTCCTTTATATTTTTTTTGATAGACTGGTCGGGTACTCTACACTTGCTTCCAATCCATACAAGCCCAAAAAAGCTCTGAGTAAGTACAACAGAGATGATATTATTGATGGACTAATGCGTAGTCATAGAATTGATTGTTCTGTTTCACTTAATTTTTCTCATTAGTAAGATACTGATAGTACTATATCTCTATTCTTACCCACTAACAGCCCTAAGAAAAATTAGAATGTCTTTAACAGTTTGGGTATTATGAAACTTTAGGAATCTAGAATCTCTTTGTTTTGCTATATCACCATAGACTTGGTCCACATTTCCCAAATTGTGTTGCACTGGTAGTTTCTGTTTTTCTGGTGTATTCTAAAACAAAGACCAAATGTTAAGAAATTTAGAGATCTTTTTCATTTTTTGTTTTTGTTTTTTTGAGACAGGGTTTCTCTGTGTAGCCTTGGCTGTCCTGGACTTACTTTGTAGACCAGGCTGGCCTCAAACTCCCTCAGTGCTGGGATTACAGGCATTCACCACTGGGTCCAGCGAAATTTAGAGATTTTTATAGATACTTCTCTGTTGCTACATAAACTTTCTTGGTGTTGCTAAGGAAGAGCCCAGGGCATTCTGAATACTAGGAAAATATGTACCATAGAGATGTAACTCTTGCCTTCCTGTCATAAAAAGTATTTTCAGAATTATAATATTTCATTTAAATGTTTATATAGATTAATTTTCTCATTAAAGTATAGTAATGTAGCCAAGTGTGGCTAAACAACATAAAAAAAACCCCAAAACCAAATAAAATAAAACAAAGGACTTGAACTCTATTGTTATTGTTGTTGTTTTATCTTGCTGTTACAAATAAAGATAACAGCAACTGCTATCCTACTACCTCCATTCTCCACAATGTACTTACTAGATTTTCTTTCCTTTTTTGTTACTTTTCTTTTTTAAATTATTAATATATTGTTATTATTTATTACAATTTATTTACTTTATACATTTCTAATCTTTAAAAGTTTGCTTCTTTTTATTTTTATGTTTGAGACAGGGTCTTGTTATATGCTTCACTCTGAGCTTATGATATTTCTACCTCTTCTGTGTTAGGCTTTGTGGATATTGGCTACTATATTCAACTGAAGTTTCCCATTTTATTGTATTAACAATCGACATTAAAAAATATTGATTTTGCTCTCCATGTTTACTGAATTTTTTTTTAAAGATTTATTTATTATGTATACAATGTTCTGCTTACTCACCATAAGAGGGCACCAGATCTCGATATAGGTGATTATGAACCACCATGTGGTTGCTGGGAACTGAACTCAGGACCTCTGGAAGAGCAGACAGTGAGTGCTCTTAACTGCTGCTCCATCTATCCAGTCTGATTACTAAATTTTCATAGTTACAAACCTCTATGCTCAAGATTGTAACCATAATTTTATTATATATGTTATGTGTATTAGTTAATTATAATAGAAAATAAATTTTATCATTATGATTATGTAAATATATTCCTTCTACAACTAACTAACTAACTAGTGTGCTATGCTTTTTTTTTTCCTTACATAGGGTTCTGTTTTGTTTGTGTTGCTTTGCTTTTTGCTTTTGTAGGAGGTTTTGAATAAAATTTCTCCCACATTTGTCTTTTTTTAAATTTATTAATTTCTTTATAAATTACAGTTTTATTCACTTTGTATCCCCAATGTATCCTCCTCCCTCATCTCCTTCCTAATCCCACCCTCCTTCCCTCATCTCCTTCCATGCCCCTCCCCAAGTCCACTGACCCTAGCCTATCAGGTCTCATCAGGAGTGGCTGCATTGTCTTCTCCTGTGGCCTGGTTAAGGCTGCTTCCCCCATTAGGGGGAGGTGATCAAAGAGCTAGCCACTGAGTTCATGATAGAGACAGCCCCTATTCCCCTTAGTAGGGAGCTCACATAGAGACAGAACTGCCATGGGCTACATCTGAGCAGGGGTTCTAGGTTATCTCCATGCATGGTCCTTGATTGGAATATCAGTCTCAGAAAAGACCACTGTGACCAGATTGTTTTGGATCTGTTGCTCTCCTTGTGGAGTTCCTGTCCCCTCTGTCCCCTCCAGGTCTTTCTATCTCCTCCTTCTTTCATAAGATTCCCTGCACTCTAGCCAGAGTTAGGCTATGAGTCTCAGCATCTGCTCTGATACCCTGCTGGGTAGAGTCTTTCAGAGGCTCTCTGTGGTAGGATTCTGTCCTGTTCCCTGTTTTCTCCCTGTTCTGATGTCTGTCCCATTTGCCTTTCTGAATGAGGATTGATCATCTTACCCAGGGTCCTCCTTCTTGCTTAGCTTCTTTAGGTGGACAGAATTTAGTATGCTTATCCTATATTATATGTCTAATATCCACTTATAAGTGAGTGTATACCATATGTGTCTTTCTGCTTCTGGGATACCTCCCTCAGGATGAACTTTTCTAGTTCTCATCACTTGCCTTCAAATTTCATGATTTCTTTGTTGTCTTTTATCACCTCCTTGAGTTCTAAGCTCTGAGGAATAATTTGGAAACACTTGAAATCTCCACATTTTAAGGATTACACTATAAAATTATCCTATCTTTGTCTGACATCTCCCTTAGGCCTTATTTTCAGCTGATAACCAGAGTGGCAGGAGACTATGGCTTTTTTGTTTGTTTGTTTGTTTTTATTCTCCTGAGTTATAGCCATTATAGTGTGGAGTCTTGATTCATTGTCATTTTTTGCTAGAAGAGATCTTCCAGTAACTTCCTAAGAATGGTGTGAATTTGAGACATTTTTTGTTTAAGTCCTAGTTGTCTGAAATAGTTTATTCTTAATAACAGTTGTGAAAATTGAGGCAGAAGTCCTGAACTCAATGGTTGGCATTGTTTTTTAATTTATCTAGTACATTCCTGTTTTATGGACTTGAAATCCTAGCAGAAGCAGATGTACCATCAGCTTCCCTCACAGCTTTCTATTCCTTAGTAGAACACATATCAAATCCCTTTTCTCCCATCTCTAATTCCTCCCTTTTTTCTAGTTAGAGATCTAGAAATAGAATGAGACTTACACAATTGTAAATTAGATGTTATACTCATTGTTGACAAATGAAAGTTTGCCACATAAAAACAGAAACAATAAGATAAACATTTGACATTGTTATTCAAAATTTTAGGTTCAACATCAAAGTCAGATAAAGTTTCACCACTCATGTTCAAAACACAAAATCAGTTGTTTTTATCATCAGTGCAAAGAAGGAAACTGGGAAAACAATTTCACTAAAAATAGCATTACACTTGTTAAATATGGAAGAGAAAATGTAATAAAGGCAAGGAGAGACTTGATCCATTAGAGTAAAAAGTGATAAGAGAAATAAAAGAATTTATACATATATTTGTATGTATAGGTATATGATTGTCTGAGTTTGCTTCTTTGTTTCTGTGACTAAAACAATGATCAAAATAGTTTGGACAGGAAATGGTTTATTTTACTTTACATCTTGCAGTCTATTGTTGAAAGAAGGTAGTGCAGAAATTCAAGAGAAGGACCTAGAGCAGAAACTGTTGCAGAGGCCATGGAGGAGTATGGCTTACTTGCTTACTCAGCCTGCTTTTTTATAGTTCTCAAGACCACCTATCTAGCAGTGGCACAATTAACAGTGGCTGGGCCATCCCACATCAAACATTAACCAAGAACTTTCCCCCACTGATACTCCCACAGGCCATTCTGATGAAGGCAATTCTTTGATTAAGGGTCCCTCTTCTCAAGTTACTCTACAAAAACCAACCAATACAATGATATAGTGAAAGATTTGTTATTGTTCAATGATAATATTCTCCAAAGATATCTAGAATCAATGCAATACTTATATAATTCTGAAGGTCCTTTTTGTTGCAGACATAAAATTGCAAAAGGCATAGAATTCCAATACTGACAAAAAAGAAGACAAGAATCAGAGAAATAAATATTTAAATTTTACTATAAAACTTATGTAGTGTGAAACTAGACTAAGTATAGATATAGGCCAATGGAATAAACTCAGAGGCCCAAAGTAAAACCAAATTAATTTTCAATAAGTGTGCCAATGTCATTGAACGAGAAGCAAATATTTTCTTCTATGGGTGGTGCTTTGACAATTATAGATCCTTATACAGAACAGAAAAGCTGGACACCAACCTCACAGCATATATAGAATTTAGCTACAAATAAACCAGTGTACACTTAGAAGAAAACGTAGGGTAAATCTTCATGACATGAGTTTGGCAATGACAGTTTTTCATAGATGTGACAGCAAAACATGAATTACAAAAGAAAACAGATAAACTCACAAGACAAAACTTTTGCATGCAAAGATATTAAGAAAGTAAAAAGACAACCTGTAAGGTTGAAAATATTTTCCAATTTTATAACTGACACTATTATACTATTTAGAATATTATGAAAAAAAATCTTAGTATTGGACATGATAGTTCATACCTGTGATCAAAGGACTCAGGTGGCTGAGACTGGAAATTTGCAGTGAGTTCAAAGAAAATCTCAGTTACATAATAAGTTCTGGCCCAGTCTAGGTTGCATTGTGAGATCATTGCCAAACCCTGTCTCAAACATGTCTTAATACTGGATTTGGTGGTAAATGACTATAATCTAGCAGTTTATGGCAGGGAGAAGCAGGTTCTCAGAAGTTCAAGAATGCTTTGGCTGCTAAGCATGTTCAGTTCCAACATGGGGAACATTGGATACTGTCTTAAAAAGTCAAAAATAATAAAAACAAATTATCAATAAAAAGACGAGAAAGCCAGGCATAGTGGTACACGTCTTTAATCCCAGCACTCAGAAGGTAGAGTTAGGTGAATCTTTGTGAGTTCAAGGCCAGTCTGGACTATATAGTGAGTTCTAGGTTAAACAGGACTGCATGGTGGGACTCTCTTGGAAAAAAAAAAAGACATAAATTACCAATATAGTAATGAAATAGTTGACATGACTATATATTTAGAGATCCCATAATAGTAATAATAGCAATTATTATTATAGGCTGGAGAGATGCCTTTGGAGGCAAAATGGATAACCCTGCCAACCAGAGGCTAGAAGATGAAAATTATC